ACACAAAGGCTTGGTTTTAGAACCTGACAAAAATGTAGAGAAAAATAGTCCAAAGCAAGTTCTGAACACAGCAATTTTGCCAGCTCTGTGTCCATAACTAAGTAATTTGTCCAGATTTTTCCCAACAATAAGCCAAAGCTAGTATATGGCTATGCAACATTTATTAAGTTCTAAAAAAAGTACTTCAGAACATAAATGTAGGACTTATCTTGAAAGTACCAGCATCTTTTCCCAGGATTGTCAGCTGTTCCCTAAAGTTGGCATGAGAACCTGCTTTAAAGAACTGAAGATACAGTAAGCATTACATTCATGCCCTACCTACAGAAATTGTGAAACATCTTTCTGGAATCAAATCCATAATACTGTACACTCATAATCAGAGCCCATAAGCATAGTATAAATACCACATGTAAAAGTATATTATATTCCAAACATATAATATTGCATACTGTACATCAGTTAACCCAGGCAGCATTTAATTAAAAACACTTTTTCCAAAGGTTTTGTATTTTGTATTTCCAAAGGTTTTGCATTTAATTAAAAACACTTTTTCCAAAGGTTTTGTATTTTAAGAGACAAAATAATTTAATTCAAGAGTCACCAATCCAATATTGACACTCTGCACCTTTAACCAGAAGTTCCATCCAATTTACATCACAAATATCTAATAATAGAACTGTCTGTGTAGTTGTTCATTTGCATGTGCTCACTTCTCACAGCAAACAGATAATCCATATTTCCTCTTTCTTCATCTAACCAACAAGGCCAGGATGAAAAAAAGGTACTTCTGAGATTAATATGCAGCTTGTATAATTCAAAATCATAAATTTACCATTTCCATAAATTTACCACTGTCTAACAGTCTTGACAGCCAAATATAACCTACAATTTACTAGCTAAAATGTAGTTGGCTTTTTTGTGCTCAGTGTGTTTTGGGAACTCAGAGTAGTTAAGTTTTGGTTTTAAGATGTTGTGGGTTAATTCAGTAAACTATGGATCATTTAACCATGAGTTAGTATAGCATGCAAACATGGCCACAAATGCCATATACTCAGAAGCAGTTGAGTTTTTCATACTGGCTCTAGGTTAAACTGAGATAATAACCACTATCAGAAGATAAAGTAATGGCAACCACTATCAGATTTCTGCTTGTACGTTTTCTATAGAAATCTAGCTGCTTGGTCTCAGACACTGAGAACTAGGCTTAATGTCTCTTAGTCTTATAGTGGCAATTCTTTTATTTTTAAATATCCCTGTCTTCTCCAGTGCTGCAGCATATTTAAATGAAATCTCTTATTCATTCCATTTCTATCCACAATGCCTTTGAAACAGGAAGTCTTGGGAAAGTATGTTATCAATGCATTATGATCAAAGAAATATTTATACACAATACTGTATTGAAATATATACCAAATTTTTGGAGAGTAGATGTAATCAGTATTTTGTGACCAATGACCACCATAAAATTGGCATGGATTGGTCACACCAATAAGAGCATTCATTAAGAAAATATAATTCACTTCCTACTTATATGTTCCTTCATCACATTTCGAAAATAGAAGTAAAACTCGATTCTCAGGCAGATGCAGGCTGAATTAATATCAGTAGAGATTCTTCAGATCATACCACCATAGCCCAAGTAGGCAAACAGGAACAATTTTAATTTAAGCTGAAAGAATCTGGTTCAGATAGGATTCCAAAGTACTTAGTCCAAAATTATTTTTAACATCATGTGGCTGTAAGGAATTATTTTTCTTCATAAATGCTAGGACCATTATACTTGAAGGCTATTAATTTAAATTAATGTAATTTAATATAAGGATTAATATAACTTGTTGTCAATGGTACAAGCTTGCAACCAAGCTGAATTGATGGCTGTGTTTTATATTACGGTACACACTGAACTGCAAATTAGCTAATTGCATTCAACTATAGTTCATGGTTTCCAATGTTGTACAAACCTAAAACTGGGTTAACCATAATTAACTATGTCATGCAAGCAGAGTTAATGTTGCTATAAGTTGAATTTTAAGTGGAAGAAAATATGATATTATTAAGATCACCTCAAAAATATATCAACAATTTACCTATTTATTATTAAATTTATTTGCTGGCCATCTTGTGTTTTGAGGTGAATCTGAGCAGTTTATTGACTCAAGAATATGTGTTGGATAGTCAATAAAGTCATATAATAAAAAAATGATCCAAATATTTGAAGTATAATAATTTAATCCTTAAATTGGGTTTTGAATTGCTGGCACAGAATTCCATTTTATTTTTTTCTTAAAGTATAAAATGTAATTGTAAGATAGACAACATTTGATTTTAATAACTGTAGAGCAGACATGTCAAATACAAGGCCCGGGGGCCGGATGTGGCCCGCGAAGTGGTTTCATGTGGCCCGCAAAGCCATCCTGGAAACAGTGAGGGAATGGCCCCCGCTGCCTTGGCCCAGGCCGGCCAGGAGCCAATGTACAATTTTGTGGTGGCCATCTATGCTGAAACACATTCAGTCTTAGCTCCACAAGGCTGTCTAGAACAGGGCTTTTCAACTTTTTCACCCATTGTACCACTTTTAGGATATGGCAACATCCAAGTACCACCAGTCACCTAGCAAGGTGTCAAGAACTTGATGACCCCCAAAAAAGGAAAAAAGTGATAAAGTACAAGTAGTCCTCGACTTACAACAGTTCACTTAGTGACTGTTCGAAGTTACAATGGCACTAAAAAAAGTGCCGCCCAATCCTCAGCCGAGCAAGACACCCGGCTGCGCTCTTCCTCCTGTCCGAGGTTTTCATTGTTGTGAGCATTTCTGTTGAGGATTGGCAGTGAGGTGGGGTGGGCGGTGTTTGGTTTTTATTCCCCCCATCTGCTGGGTGGTTGCAGCAGGTTTTGTCCCTTCACATGACCCTGGGACACTGTGACCGTCATAAATATGAATCAGTTGCCAAGCATCTGAACGTAAATCACAATACCCTGGAGATGCTGCTGATCGGCGCTTCTTCTGGGCTCAGCAGAAGCACCAGGATCAGTGCCGAGCTCCAGCTGGAGCCTGGCGCTGATCCTGGCACTTCCACTGAGCCCTGACAGCCCCAAAGCGCCGATCATCTGGAAAGCGGCACTGATCCTGGCGCTTCCACTGAGCCCTGACAACCCTGCAGCTCCAGCCATCTCTCGCTCAGGCTTGTGCGGTGCTGCCACCGGTTCAGCTCATTCCCCTCCCCCGCTACCACTTTTCTAGGATGGTCGCATACCACCTGCCAGGTGCCAATGTACCATAAGTGGTACCTGTACCACTGGTTGAAAAGCCCTGGTCTAGAAACAGCGAGGAACCAGCCCCTGCCGCATCAGCCCCGCCCCCTGGGTGCATGCTGGGGAGGTGTCACCCTTTGTGAGGAATGAAGAAATGGACCATGCCTTGCGCTTGCCCCGGTCCCACCCCCTTCTGCCAGAGACCCTCAGATCTGTCCCACTCCTGCCCAGATCCCCATAGGCACCCTTGACACGAACGATGTAGAGCTGGCCATGCCCACCCAGTAGGCCACACCCACTCCATCCACGCCCACCCAGTAGGCAGCACTCACCCTGGCCACACTCACCTGGCCCGAGGGCAACCGCAATGCTAATGCAGCCCTCAATGAAATTGAGTTCGACACCTCTGCTGTAGAGTCTACTATAATAATTGCCATGTTCTAATAAATTCTGATACTTAATAATTGTTAAAGGTGTTTATTACCTAAAGATAAAAAGAAAATTCTTTCAAAAAAACAGAATGCTTTAAATCTTTATTTAGCATAAGCCCCAAACTTAAGAATCCATGTTGGATAAAATCTGTTACACAAAAGTCTGAATTTCCAAAGTATATCACAAAATAACATTCTGTATTAACTCACCCACTTGAATAAAAGTGTTCAAAGGGGATGACAAGGATCACAGGACTAACGGGGCTGAAAATTAACTATTCTAACTAATATCATTAATGCTATGAAAATTTAGTTTCCTTTTCTTAAAAACAATGCTCACCACAAGGATTTTAGGGAGTTTTATTTCTAGAAGGATTCCCATGCCATCTTTCTAAATCAGGGTAACAGGATCCTAGCTTTAATGCATCCAGGTATCTGTTCAAAAGGGAACATTCATTCGTCTTACACATATTTCATTTGAATATGGGTGCAATCAGTTATATGACTTGAAATGGTCTCAATATCTTTAACCTTATGCAAGTGTAGTTCCATCCTGTTTTAAATCAAAGTGCCTCTACAAGCCTATCCCAACAGAAGCCCAAAATTGGAAAATGTATTAGGAAATGTAGTGTGCATCATTCACTCTTCGTTCCAAAGGTGTACAATTCAAAACTGATAGGAGCAATTTATCTAGTTGCCATTCTGATCAGTGAATAAAAGCATTCATTCATTCACCTAATTGGCAAAGGGTTCTTACACTTTTCAAAACGACCCAGGGGAAGTATGTAAGCAAGTGCAACTCAGCATACAAGGGTAAAAAAATCTCAGACCGAGCAAAATGTTCTCTTCACTGCACAACTTCTAAAGATGCAACAATCCTCTATTTTGCAATTGCTCATTTCAGCAGAATCTTTTTTGGGTGCCCCCTTTCCTCACAAACTACGAGACAAGGCAGGATGGCTGCTCCGTCGCGGAGAGCAACATCCTGTGTCATCTTTTCCCACTCCCCAGAGTCTCGATACGCCCTGCAGGACCCGATTGTTAACTTTCCCACCCCAAAATCTGGTTTGCGGAAATGCCACACCGCGCAGTAGAAAAGACGGGACAAAATTCGGAAGGGCACAGGAACGAGCTAAATAGCCAAAGCACTTTAAAAAAAAACTATTATCGCTACGGTCCAGCCCCATATGTAGGATCTAAGACAGGCTGAAACCCATAAAGCTAAAACACGGAATCTACGAGGCTGCGTGAAAGCCCCCACCCCCCCGCTTCCTTTCCTCGCGAAGGAAAAAAATCGCTTTGTTCGCCGCCTCTCACCCGCCACTCGGTAGGCTCCAGCAGGCTATTTCTGTCTCCCGCCACGGGTCTCCTGCGCTCTGCTCTCCAAGAGGCAACACCATCAAAGAGGGGGCGGCCAAAGGGAACCAAGACGCCCGGCTAAGAGAGCAGCTGACCCGGCTTGGACGCGCTCCCTCCTCACCATCCACTTCCTGTTTCTTCCCCTGCGAAAGCAAAGCGGCGGAGGAGGAGCTATTCCAGCGCCATCTGCTCCAGCCTCCCGCAGGCAATCCAATTGATGCCGGAGAGATGAACCAAACGCACACAGGCATTAGCCAACGACCCTGCAATCATCGACCAAAGTTTTCAATGCCGCTTAGCTCGAGCGTACAATGCTATAATGACTGGTAACGCGCGAACGTGTCATCAAGTGTATACGAGAAAGGGGGAACCAATCTCATTGATGATCTGGCTTTGTCTGAAGTTTTGCATCTTCTGAATGCGAATATGCTCTATGTCCAATCATAGAGCAATATTACAGGTAGAGATGACATAAGAACTCGTCACTGTCAACTCGCATGCATGTCGAACGAAGAAGCTTGAGGGCAACAGAGAAAATACCATAATGATGTGCGTTTCTCCCTGTTTGAAATATGTCCCCTAGGCTCAGGTTTAGTTTCTTACTGAGAATTAATCCAATAAATTCCTAAACAATAGTGTGTCAACGCTGTACAATATCAATGGGATGCAGGGAGGTGTAATTAAGCCCTAATACAATTCTCACAATCATCTGTGAAATTTTATAAGTCAATTACCCACCCAACAGACACGTCCAATTTGAACTCAAAACTAATTTGGGGCGCTTGAACGGTTTATATAAAATAATAGGTTTGTGGAATCATGAAAAACTCGCCATTAACACTTCAGAATTATAGGAATAATACCTGATGGTCATTTGACTCCTACAAGGAGTCAATATTCTGCATTGTCTCTTCAGTGTTTGACAATTTTAAGATGTGTGGACTTCAGCTCCCAGAAGTCCACACAACTTAAAGCTGTCAAGGTTGAGAAACTGCGCTCTCTGCTTTTTCCTGGGGCCTGAATATGTAGATAGACAGCGGAACATGATTTGGAAAGCCAACCATGTGATTCCTTCCCCGTGACATCCCTTCATTCATTTCTTGCTTTCCTGTCTCATACAAACTGGCCAGCAGGCTTGCATGGGGATGAATTAATGACACTTTGCGGGAGGGAGGCCAGCTGTCTGAGTGTAAAGATTTCAGCCTTCTTGTATTTAGGAAAGCAGCCAAAAGTGTCAAAATAAAGCCCAGCGGATTCTCAGTTTGTCCTTGAGAGCTTCTGTTCGCCCACGACCAATCAGGGTCAAGATCAAAGATCAACGGCAGTCAACCTTCCTCTTTGGACAGCCGGATCAAATCCTACCACTTCAAGGATCTGAAGCCTGAGCTGTTGTTCTGTTAAACCTTCAGAGGCCGGAGACCCTCTGCGAACTCTTAAACCTGCAATCCCGCACCCATCCGAGGAACTGAGCCCAAGCGACAGGTTACGTACGCTTGCCAGTGGTGGCAAGACAGAGAGAGCAAGAAAAATGCATTTGTGTTCGCGGCAATATCTAGCTTGCATTTTTAGCGTGTCACCCAGTCTTTGTCTCCGATCTACCCGCGGGAACATGATAAAATCACCTTTGTTCTACTCCTCTTCTTTATTCTGTGTGCTCTGTATTCCCCCTCCCCCCCCCACAAATTACAAAGCTTCTCCAGTCATTTCCCTTCGCTGGTTCGTGACAAGCGCGTGGGAAGAGCGCATTGGCGAAGCGGTTTTCCTCATTTTCTCTATTGGGCAACTGGAGAGTAAAGGAGGGACGAAGTATCAGACCTTATTGTGGGCGTCACCGAGACTGGGAGGAGGTGTGGCCCAAGCAGACTTTCATTTAAACCTGCTCTTTTTTACCTATTGCAGAGTCTACGCCCCGAGTAAAAACGACGGCGGTAGTACAAGCACCAGCAGCAGCAGCTACCCAGCCCTAGAGGTCGACCGTGGCAGTGGGAGCGAGACGAGCAGTGACAACGCAAGCCCTCCTCGTCCTGGGATCTTCCAGTCCTGTTTTTCAAAGTCCTCCAAGTCGTTCAGTGATTCCTATCTGCCCAAAGAGGTGAGTCTCCTCTGTTTCTTCGCCTTGCACTTCTTCGGGGTGCATGGATTACTCGGTTCCAAATGATTAGTAAAAGCAACGAGTCGTCCAGTATCTTGAAGGCTAGCAAGGGTTATTGTGCCGCTGAAGCCACAAATAGCTTAAAAACTAAAATATTATAAGGTTACACGACCCTTTTTGCGGTTTTTACTGCAATTAACTAGTTTGACTGTGACTGCAGCTTTTTAAAAAAAAATGATATGAAAAGCCTCTTTTATATACTGTACAAATCCTTATATGTGTTAGAATTTTTCTGTTTCTAATTGCTTTTCACTGTTGACTCTTTGTCCCCACCCTGAAAATTGTACAAGTCAAAATGGCTGAGAAAGCTTTTCACCTTTTGTTTTATATTGGTTTGGTTAAGTTTGATTACAGACTATTTCCTTTATAGCATATTGTAACAACTGCCTTGCTCCTGGAATAACAGGGCCAGATGGATACATCTGTCCTTTTTTAGTCTAATCCTGGTTTATGTGTGGGATTGTGGGATAGTTATAGTAATATTTGCACAATTAAATTCAGAAATGTTAAATTCAATATGGTAAAATCAACTTCAGGTTTACCTTAATTGATTATCAGTTTGGAAGTCTCTGTGTAAGATAATGGCTTTGTGGTATTATGTGATTATGGTTTATGTGATTATGGTATTCTGCATTTAGGTTAGCTTGTTGGTAACCAACAATTCCATTACAAGTGTGGCCATGAAAATGTGAGATGGAAACGTTCAAAATAATTGGTCCCAATTTTGGCTTGATTGAGATGGGCAGTACCTAGCCACTATCCTAACAAAACCAACATTTTAATTTGAAGTGTATTTATTTTGTTTATTAGAATTAATATTCCACTATATATAATTCAAGGTGGCATACATAACGTTTCTTTCACTGAAGTCCACTGGTTTTACTAAATATATGTAAAGATGTAGTTCTGGAAAGAATGGTAGAAAATCCTGGGAAACAAAAGGGTCATTTTAGCAGCCAGTTATTAAAGGCTCTATAGCCTTTCTCATTTGTTCTGATTTTGCTGTGAAGTTACATATATAGACATCCAATTTCTGCAGCAAGCTAATAATGAAATAAATATGTAAAATATCTCTGAGAACTATAATCTTGCATACAGGTGTTTTTATTAGTCTTTCTTTTCTACAATAAGGCCTGTTTAATTATGGATTTCAGAATACTGGTTATTTCAACATTCTGAACCACATCCAATATTATGCAAGCACTCTTCTAATTGCAACACCTCTCCTTTTTTTCAAATCCCTTTCCCAGACATGCACTAAGTCTTAAGGGTGGACATAAGGAAGGAGAACCTATTTTGCAGATGGATGGTATTTTCCTAGGCAAATGAAAATCTATACAAGTAGTCCTCGACTTATGACCACAATTGAGCCCAAAAATTTCTGTTGCTAAGTGAGATGGTTGTTAAAATGAGTTTTGCCCCATTTCATAACCTTACTTGCCACAGTTGTTAAATGAAGCACAGCAGTTAAGTTAGCAACCTGGTTGTTAAGTGAATCTGGCTTCCTCATTGATTTTGCTTGTCAGAAGGTCGCAAGAGGTGATCACATGACCCTGGGACACTGCAACTGTCATAAATATGATCTAGTTGCCAAGGATCTGAATTTTGGTCACATCCATGCAGATGCTGTAATGTTCGTGTGAAAAATGGTCATAAGTCACTTTTTTCTGGTGCTGTAACTTTCAAACAGTTGAAAGTTGAGCACTAACTATAATCAGGTTTACATTTTGCAGTAAGCCACATTATGGTTTATTGGACAAGATTAAGCAGCTTTGCCCTGACAATTATAGTTAGTTGGACCAGCCAATGTCAAATGAATGATGGATTAGTAAAATATGCAAATCAGGCTATTGTATATAATGATCATGAGTTACATTTGTACATCAAAATTTTGATGGATTGGAGGCCATTTAATTATATGATGGAGAAGAGAATTGATCTTGAAAAGATTATGCCAGAATGAATACTTTGCTTTAAAATGATGTTTTGTCACAGTTTATTACATTTACAATCTCTGTGTGATAAACTCTGAGTTAAATAGTGTAATTTAACAGTTTATTGATTTCATGTTAAAAACATCTCTTTCCATAAGGAAAATATTTTTATATCTTTTTAAATATATCTTGCAGCAATACAATAAGTATTTCTGCCAGTTTGATGATTATGGAATGTGCTCAGTTATACTCACTAATATACTCACATGATTAGACTGTAGCCTGGCCCAAACAGTGCACTAGTACTACTGTGTAGTACTACAAAAAATAATTTCAGAGTGGAGCCTACAGCATGTGCTTCTTTCATTGACTTTTGCATATACAGTGTTAGATATCTTATGAGGGTAAAATTGCCAAGTCACGGCTCTTTCGTAACCAACACTCGTAAGCAAATACCTGTGGGGATTATCAATTGGCCACAGAACATTTTAAAGCTATGCTTTTTGTTAACTAAGGTCAAGGGGCAGGTAGGAGCGTTTATTTCCTTGAATATCTTCCTCTGAAGTGCATCATTTGCAGAAAGTAAATATATAAGGGTCCCTTTAGCAGCCAAACAGACTTTATTAAGGGAAGGAAAACAATGTCCTGGCTATATAAGCAGGTGGCTAGAGTGCAAAACTTTAAACTTTCCCCCAAACATGCAGAGTACAGTATTCTCAATCAGGACCAACTCCTGCATTTTTATTAAATTTATATGACTGTCCATTTCACAAATGTGACACTTAGTGTCATACAAAACAATCATGAAATCAATTTTAAAAACATTCAAAGTACAAGTACAAAAATTCAATATTACTATAAAAGGTTAAGGCACAACATCAGGTTATAAACAATGCCGTATAATCAAATTACTATTTCCTTGCAATCACTAGGCTTGTTGACATAACCAGGTTTTAAGGGAGTTCCAGAAGGATGGTAGAGATCTCATCTCATAGGGGACAATGTTCCAGAGGGCAGATGCCATGGCAGAAAAGGCTCA